TGCCACTCACACCACTGGTCCTATAGGGCTCATCCGTCCTGGATTCCCTGTATTTTCAGTTCCTATCTGTACCAGTGTACCTCCTCTGGTCTAAGGCTATTTTTTAATAAATGTTCACAAACTTGTACATTTGTCAATTTGCATTAGAAATCTGTCAAAGATCAATAACAAGCTTATAGACATCTTAGTTCCAGAACCCAGGTTTTTCCCCTTTAAAAAAAGGCGGGGGTGGGGTGGGGTGTGGAAATTAAGCTATAATTTGATCATCTATCATGCCAATTTTCTTTTTTTTATGACATTCTCAGAAGGTATTCAATTATTTCATGAACAGAGAAGCAAATCTAATGGAAGCTAGAGAACATGAATTTAGGGTTTTAAAAAAGTTGAACGTACTTACCAAGAAGTGTTTCACTTCTTAGACGGTTACAATCGTGCCTACAATTCTTTTCATCATAGCACTGTATTTTCTCAAACTCAAAGAACTATTTCTCCCTACTAACGCATAGTTGCAAATCATGAACTGATGCTTCCATACCGTTTAAAATTTTACAATCTTATTGTAGCTTATTCTTGATATAACATTTTAAAAAACAACTTATGTTGTTGTCTTACACATTACTATGAACTTTATCTTACTCTGTGGTTCCTGCTACTGTTCATAAAGGTTTGCAGATATGTCTATTAATTATCTTTAGTAATTTATATCTCTTTCAAGCCACTAAAGTTATGTGCTGTTGAGTTTCCGTATAAAACCACATTTGGCTTTTAGAGTATCTCTATCATCAAATTAGTTAAGATTGTGTATATTCATTTTAATTAACTCTCATTCAAAGAACCACAGTCTTTCACGGAGTACTACAAAACCACAGAGACCCATGCTAAACAAAAATACCAAACTGTGAAGCTACTGTGCTTTGCTACATCTTCCATTTGTGTTTACACCCTCTGAGGCTGGTATTCTGATCTCTCAAGCTTTTCCCTGAAGAATTCTGTATGCTTCAATTTAAACCACATCAAAACAGCAGTTTGACCATCTTCAATGATCATCTTCAAGTGTTTAAAATCATGATTTATTAAAATCTTGAGTTCAGGGTACAAAAATGTCTGAAGGGGCAGTATCAGGACTGTAGGGTGGATAGAGCAGGGTTTTCCCAAACAACACTGTCCTACAATAGCATTTGCTGCCTCGAAGAATGAGCAAGTGTATTGTCATGATCAACAAGAAATCCCTCACTGCAGTCTGAGAACATAGGTTTCCTCCCACAAGTTCCCCTGAGCATAGGCCTGAGTCCCCATCACTGGAGCTTTGTCGCTGAAAAGATACTGACTTGACAAAAGTAGGGCATATTGACTCCCACACTAACAACTGTGTTGACAGGTCTTCACAGCCTGTTATTGTGACCTGGCTCCCCACCAGACCAACGGCTTTCCAAGCAGGAGTGGAGATGGACATCAGACCTTTGTAAAGAAACGCAGACCAGGCACTTCAGATTGAGTTTAATTTCATGTATACTAACTCCTCTTTGAACACGATGCCTCGAGTAGATGGACTGTTACTGAGGTTGTACCATAGTAGGGGATAAGAAGCCTTTATTTTTTTGGACAGGGGGATAGCATTCCCCTGCAGAAGAGGTTCCCAGCAGATATGACCATGGATTTATGAAAGATCTTTCTTGTGGATCCATGTCACTTGGTGGTGAAAGGACCCGTGAAAGATTCCCATCTGCCCTGCAGAACCCACCACAGAGGAAAAAGTTATCCCTGCTAGTGTACCAAAACTGGTAACAAGAAGCCAGAGTTTGCCGATATGAGCGTCAACTCCATACAGAGCAAAAGCAAGTCTGCAGGAGCTGGGAAAAGCTTCCGGCACTGGTGCTCACGGTGTGCAGGGATCCTCAGCCCAAGTCCCATCGTCCCCTCACAAGAAGACTCTCCCCATCTCATTCCTGTGTGTCCCGTTTGAAGAGAATAAGCCCAGCAGATTCCAGGCTTGGTGTTTCAGTTCCACAGTTCAAGCTCCTTTCCTCAGACCTCGAGGTCATCACTGCGACCGGTGCTGGGCAGGCAGCTGCCTATCAGACCTTCAGGGTGGCCAAGGTTTCCAATTCACACCATGGGAGTGTGCATGCTCCAGTTTTGACTGCAGCCACTAAGAGGACCAGGAGTCAAAGAGGACTTTCCTAAGGTTCTAGATTTGGACAAATAGAACTGAACGAGCCCACGGTGGCTACCTTCCAGCTGCCTCTGGATTCTAGGCTGAGCATATTGCTGGAGAAGGGAGGGACATGGTGCCAGAGGACGGGGTGTGGTTAACAAGAAACAAGACTTGGCAAAGATGTAAGTTTTGTCTGAAGCAGAGATTATACAGAAGTTTCTCCCTGGTGTTAAACCATTCATTGTTGATAAGCAAATGGTGTTTGGGTTAGTAATACGTAGTTCTAAGGGCATCGAGTTGTTGAAATCTCCATCTTCCAACCTCGCCTGTAGCCTGCAGTCTCTTGTACAGTGAGGACATCTTTTACTTTTTTCCCCAAAAGGCAAAAAAAAGGGGGTGGGTAGCCCATCTTAAAGCCCCAAGCCATCTGAGTAGTGTTAAGGTTTTATACACAAAGGAAAAAAAGTAAGTATGTAAATGTTCACCATGAAACACTCATTCCAAAAGGAGTTGATCTAGCCAAGGTTTATTCACCAAAAATATTCTCAAGGCTTTGCTTTAAAATCACCAAGAAATAGCGAAGCTGGGAGCATGCTGCTTGAGGGGTGCCTGGCTTCCTGAACTTGAGCTATTGATCAAATCTTTATTACTCAGGAGATTATCTTAGTATACTTTCTGTACCCCAGCTCTTATCATTCTGCTCCTTAACCTCTATCTCACAGCTCAGAAAGTCATACAGCATGTAGGCAACAGAAACAGTGAATGATACACAGTGATGGGCCAGATACAGTGCTCTTTACCACCCTTTGGCAATACAATTGATTAGGAAGGACCCCAAGCGGTTTGGTAATTTAAAATTTTCCTCAGGGTAAACTTTCCAGACTTTTCCTCACCAATGCAGTTTCCAATTTTCTTAAAATTTCTTGCTAATAATCCCTCATGCTTGTCACAGTCCTTCAAAGAAA